CACACACACACACACACACACACACACACACACACAGACACACACACACACACACACACACACACACACACACACACACACACACAGTGTGCACTAGTGAGATAAACACTGAAGCATGAATAACAGCACAGCAAAACTCCAGACTCACACAGCAGCGCCACCTGCAGGACAGTCAGCAGATTCCACTCCACCACTGCTTGGTGCAGTCAGAGAGAGAGAGAGAGAGAGAGAGAGAGAGAGAGAGAGAGAGTGTGTGTGTGTGTGTGTGTGTGTGTGTGTGTGTGTGTGTGTGTGTGTGTGTAGGGCCAGAGGTCATAATAATATAATAACACTAATACTGAAATGGTTTCAGCATTATAGAATGACCAAAACAACATGTCAGATGCTCTGCAGTGTGCTCATGCTGCTGGTCTATCCCTTCACACACACTATCCTCATCACACCATCTCTCATAACAACATCACATCACCTTTTCTAATGCGTATACTGTTATGTGTTCAGTAAAAGTGTTTCCATCCTAATGTATGCGCATCTTTTCTTATCGGTTAAAAGTTTCTCCTCCTCAGTTATTTTACAGTTATTACATTTTTATGCACATTTTTAAAAGTCTCCAAAATGAACATTAAAATAGGTGTAAGGAAACGTAAGGCTGAGGCGAGAAACACCGCTTCATCTTTAAATGAGCAGGAGACTCTCAGCGTTTAGAGAAGAAACCTGCTCCTGACCAGGTTAAGTTCACAGAGTAAAATACCACGGTACCTGAGTCCGAGTTAAAGTCACCTCTCTTTCAGGAACAGGCTTGACTTACTCTGCTGTCTCCAGCCTGACAAACCTGCCATTCTGAAACTGCAAACACAGAGTTTCTCTCATTTCAGGGTTAACATACTCTGAGTTTTCACTTAACCTCCTTTCTGAAATGGGGCCGGCTCTGTTATTGTGTTGTTGTTGTTGTTGTGTTCTTCTGCACTACTTTAATCTGTTTTTGTGTTGTTTTTGTTGTTGTTGTTGTTGTTGTTGTGTTCTTCTGCACTACTTTAATCTGTTTTTGTGTTGTTTTTGTTGTTGTTGTTGTTGTTGTTGTGTTCTTCTGCACTACTTTAATCTGTTTGCTGAAGCTCGAGTGTAGCTCCACATCTGCGCAAGCGCGCTGTGTCCTCGCTGATGTTCAGTGTCCTCGGCTCATGAGGGTTGTGGCTCAATCTCACCATCATTGGTTGTGCGCGATGACGCCACGCAGTAACCCCGCCCCCCGCGCGTGTGTGTGCGCGCAGCTCTAGTTCAGACAGTCGCGTCTCTGTTTGCGCTGCTATAAAAGCGGATTTTCTCCGGTCATCATGTCTGTATCACCGGACAAACGGCGGAAGATGGAGTCCGCGCTCGAGCAGATCAAGAAGTTCACGGTGGTCGTCGCGGACACGGGAGACTTTAACGGTAAATCAGCTGTATAGTCATGAGGAGGCGGTGTGGTGAAGTTTATACGCGCCTCAGTTCACTAATGCCTCATTCAGAGGACGGGGAGTGATGATGAAGATGAAGATGATGATCCTCACCCTCCCTGTGTGCGCGCAGCTCGTCTCCTGCTCGTGCACAGCGGCGTAATTTCGTAATGATTGCTGAAGTTTACCCTCATGTGCTCTATAATTATTAGCGGAACTAGAGCCTGAAACGGAAGTGTGTAGAAACGCGGCGGTCTGTGGCGGTGAGCTAACACTAAGAGGAACACTTGTGATTCCGGTAACCGGTTTAATACAAACGGATTTCACCGGCTTTGACAAATGTAGCGTTACTCTTGCGTTCTCGCGCCAATACCCGGAAGCGAACGAGCACGCTCTTCTAATGAATATTAATATGCCTACTTGACATTCAAAATCTCCTTCTCTGATTGGCTGGGGGCAGCACTCACCGGTCACCCGACGAATGGCGGAATACAGTGCTTTATTAATATTAATAAGCCTTTATCAGGCGTGCGTGACTTAATGTAATGTTCGGCTGAAACTGTGCAGAGTTTAAAGTTCTCAACGTTTCCGCGATCAACAGTTTCCAGTGACACATTAAACTCTGATGTACAGGACGCAGGACTCGAGCTAAAGGTTTACAGATGTAATCTAAAGCTCTTTAGTAAGGCCGCACGAGGAGCTCCGGCTGCAGCGCGTGGAGGAGGCGCTCGGTGGAGGTTTCTTCATCAGCGGTGTTGCTTCAGTCCTCTTGTGAAACTCCGTGATTTCACTGTTTGCTTGGCTGAAGGAGCTGAACTCCTCTTTCTGTTTTCTGCATGGTCATGATGATGATGAACACACACACACACACACACACACACACACACACACACACACACACACACACTTGTTTCTGTTCTGCAGTGTTTTCCTGTAGTCAGTATAGAGAGATTAGAGGTGTTATTGTTGTGTGTTTGCTCTTCTCATGATCTGCTCCAGATAAAGCCTCTCTGACCTGATCAACTGGATTCTGCTTGACAGTTTTCCAGAGTAATGTGTTTTGGCTTCTGTATCTCTGCCTCTGTGCAGGAGTGGATGTCCTGTGTTTAACTGAGGCTCTTCCTGCACTGTTATATTTGATTTATCATCGTGGATAGAGGAGCTCTGTTAGGAAATGGCCAGGAACAGAGAGCGTCTGCTTTCCCTAATGACGAAGATTAACAGCATGTGCATTAATCATCTGTGTTTCTCCTCCATCAGCTATTGAAGAGTACAAGCCTCAGGATGCCACCACCAACCCCTCCCTCATTCTGGCTGCTGCCAAGATGCCTGCTTACCAGCCGCTGGTGGACCAGGCCATCAAATACGGCACCGCTAACGGCGGGTAAGAAGAACACTGCAGTCCGATGGTTCTCTGCTCAGTGCTGGAGCTGGGCAGAACATTCACAGCTCCAGAGGAACACACAGTTCCTGACCCCTGTAGCCCACCCACAGTTCATGACCTGGAGCACACGCAGACATCTGCATGCTTTTAGCCCTTCATCGAGTCTAGTTATTTACTTGTGTAAATGTGTGTAAACTTGTATATTTATTCAGTTATTAAACTAATTTCATTAATATTTTTGACTAATATGGAAATGTTTGTATGAATTTACAGTACAGCTTGTAAAGTCATATTTTCTGTCTTTCAGTAGAGACATTCTATGCGAGACCCACTTATTTAGTAACCAAAGAGTATCTAACTGGATTTACAATATAAACATTAAGAAAGTTGAAAAAGGTATTATTTTTTATTTTATATATTAAGTTTTAGTTATGATGCTCCTAAAACCCTTTGCTTAAATCCACAGATTTATTTCCAAAATTCTGCACAGAATTGACAAGAAATGTCCACAGATTGTTTCTGGCCCTGATCATGAGTTAACAGCTCTACAGCATCCAAACATGATCTGCTCTGCCCCTATGGCTCTTGCTCTGCCCACACATTCCAGCTACCAAACTGACCAATCAGAGACCTGCATCCTCTTCATGTTGCTTAAATTTTTGGTCTGCTTTTTGTGTGTGCGTGTGTGTGCGTGCGTGCGTGTGTGTGCGTGTGTGTGTGCGTGTGTGCGTGTGTGTGTGTGTGTGTGTGTGTTTATAACCACAGGACTGAAGATGAGCAGGTTACAAACGCCATGGACAAGCTGTTCGTGAACTTCGGTCTGGAGATCCTGAAGAAGGTCCCTGGGCGGGTGTCCACTGAGGTCGACGCCAGGTCAGAGATGTACACTACACACTATCATGTGTGCACTGCACTTTGTCAATAAACTAAAGTAGCTGATGGTGTGCTTGACATAGTTGTGTGTTTGTATTTAGATGTGTTTTAATGTTGTGTGTTTTCCAGGCTATCATTTGATAAAGATGCGATGGTGTCTCGTGCACGGCGGCTGATCTCGCTGTATGAGGACGCCGGCATCAGTAAAGAGCGGATCCTCATCAAGCTCTCATCCACATGGGAAGGCATTCAGGCTGGACGGTGAGAGTGTGTGCACCACTGCTGCTCCTACGTGTGTGTGTGTGTGTGTGTGTGTGTGTGTGTGTGTGTGTGTGTATAGTAGGGCTGCTCGATTATGGGAAAAATCATAATCACGATTATTTTGGTAATCATTGTAATTATCAGTTGAAGTTGAAATTATTTGCCCTCCTGTGAATTTTTTTAAAATTATTTTTTTATAAATATTTCCCAAATGCTGTTTCTCATATTCAGGAATTGTTCACAGTATTTCCTCCAATATTTGTTGTCCTGGAGAAAGTCTTTTATTTTGGTTAGAATAAAAGCGGTTTTAAATATTTTGAAACCTTTTTTTAAGGTCAATATTATTGGCCCCTTCAGCAATATATATTTTCATTGTCTCCAGAACAAACCACTGTTATACAATGACTTGCCTAATTACCCTAACTTTACCCTAATTACCCTAGTGAAGCCTTTACATGTCACTTTAAGCTGAACACTAGTGTCTTGAAGAATATCTAGTCTAATATGTGCTGTCATCATGATGAAGAGAAAATAAATCGGCCATTAGAGATGAGTTATTAACACTGTTATGATTAGAGATGTGTTGAAGAAAAATCTTCTTTCCATTAAACAGAAATTGGGGAAAAGGGCCACTAATAATTCTAGCTTGAGCTCCAGCAGTGCTTCAGTCGAGAGCAGTGGGGGATTTTCTCCTGTCGTTGTTTGATTAATGATAAAGACAGTCGGGCGCAGGAATATCGCGCGCTGTCTCTTTAAGAGCAGTATGGTTCTGATTTATGGTTTAAACGCATGAATGATTTGAATGTTCATCAATGAATGATGCGCATCTCCTGCTGCAGACATTACAGTACAGCACATGCTTTCAGTAATGTTCAAAGAAACTGAGCTCTGCAGAGCAACACATGTACAGCTGGAAAGGGGTGGTGTGTGTCTTTTTAATAATTATTAGAAACCAAAATCGAAATTGAAATGAATTTTTGATTATTTCACAGCCCTAGTGTATGTCTAGGTGTGTGTAATCTCGGTGTGTGTGTGTTCTCAGTGAGCTGGAGGAGATCCATGGCATCCACTGCAACATGACTCTGCTGTTCTCCTTCGCCCAGGCGGTGGCGTGCGCTGAGGCCCGGGTCACTCTCATCTCCCCATTTGTGGGACGAATCCTGGACTGGTATAAGGAGAACACTGAGCGCAAGACCTACGAGCCCCATGAAGACCCAGGCATGTCTGGGTTATACTCTGGGTTGGGTTAAACTTTGAGTTAGGTTATCCAGCATCTGTAGCTCCACATCCCCTTCAGATTGACAGATGTGGAAATGAAGTCGTTCGATGATGATGATGATGATGATGATGATATTAACACTAGAGACGATGGTTGTATTCCAGATTGCTGTATGATGAACTCTGTGAACATCTCTTCACCTTTCTCAGGTGTTCTGAGTGTGACCAAAATCTACAACTACTATAAGAAGTTTGACTACAGGACGGTGGTGATGGGCGCCTCCTTCAGGAACATTGGGGAAGTGAAGGCGCTGGCGGGCTGCGACCTGCTCACCATCTCACCTGCACTGCTGGAGGAGCTGAGCCAAGACCACAGCGCCATCACCTGTACACTTACACCGCAGACAGGTAAACACACACACACACAGAGAGAGACAGGTGTACACATGTGCGCACACACACACACACACACACACACAGATACAGGTGTACACATGCGCACACACACCACACACACACACACGCACACACACAGATATACAGGTGTACACATGCGCGCACACACACACACACACACACACACAGAGATACAGGTGTACACATGCGCGCACACACACACACACACACACACAGAGAGAGAGACAGGTGTACACA